GATAACAGTACCTTATAAGGCAGTTCGTAGTTGACAGTTGGAGGCATAAAGTCAGAGGTCATTTCCAGATTGCTGGGACTTTCAGTGTCAACCAACAGTCTGTTGCATTCTGCATTAAATTGATTTGAACAATTGGCAATGTGCACAAGTCTATCTGTGGAGAGGAGGTAGATATAGAAAGAGGTTAGTACTGGAAAGTCTATCTAAATGAATTAATCTGAAATTACAGAGCTTTCAGCTCAATTCCCTTCCCTACCAAACATTCTAAAAATATACCTTGATAGCATTAACTTCAAGATGATAACAGAAATATTTTCATTTGGGTATTTATTTAGTTCCAACGTGTGATCAGATGGTAAAGACTTTATCTTCCAATTCAGATTATTTTCCATTTGTTTATGTATTGATTCTCAGTGGTGATTCGCAGGAAAGTATTGAAAGCTCTGAACAATTAATTTCAAAAACTACACCTCACGATTTAATTTCCACAAACTTTGTGGAGATGAGGTGAGGTGTAGTTTTTGAAATTACTATGGAGCTTCATCAAGTAACGGCCGAATCAATCAGAAAAAAAAAATAAAAAAAAACAATTAGGTTGTTTAAAAAGATTTGTCCGTTTTTGTGAGTCTACTTTAAACTGTAATATCTCAGTGAATAATCATTCAGTTCAATCAAAATAAGCGCCATTTGAATCGGTGCACTTTTACCAACGTAACGTTGGTTAATTCCGTCAGAATGAAAATTGGGCATTCGGGATTCGATGAAGTCGACAAAGGCCGGTGAGAAAGTAATGAAAGTGCTTGAAAAGATTGTAGTCGATTGGTGAGAGGTCTTGGGAATAAGGTGGGTTGGGCAGAACTTCTACGCTTAATTCGCTCAATTTTAGGAAGGTGATTTGTGAAACGTGTGGACGGACGTTGTCAGACCTTCTCTATTGGCCCGATTGCAGAGAGTTATGTTGAATTACATTAGCTGCTGACTACCATACAGTAAACATGGTCTTCTTTTCGTGGATTTTCGCATTTGGAAAGTGCCTGAATGAAGTGAATTGGTTGAAAAATTAGTGTAGTGAGCTCCTTAACATTTGTCATTATTGTCTATTTTCACTAACAAATTGTGGCGTTGAGTATTTTGTATGTGAAAAGTGAAGTGAATAATGAAATTGAAAAAAAATGGTTCCGAAAGTTTTTGTTTGACAAAAAGTTGAAGTTATTGTTTTGAACGACCATTCATCTCCTTTGACTGGTTTTGTTTTCAACTTGCCAAGAAAAACAACAACTGCCGAATAATTCTGTTTACTTTTCGTTAAATTTTATTCAAAAAAACATTCGTCCAAAAACGTTGAGTGAATATATCGGGTCGTTAAACTGACTAAGTACGTTAATATTTCAAACCATTTATTTTTAGGTTTTTTGTGATGACTCAGCTTCCTAAACAGTAACACCTGTAGAAAAATAGGTTTGTCTTACGTATATTAATCAATCAAATTAGTTCACTCAGAGGGTTTGAGCTAGCGATGTTCTGTTGAATAATTTATTGAACGATTTTTTGTCAAATATTAACATTGATCATTATTGAGACCAACTTTTTATTGAGAACAGTAACGAAGAAAAAAAGTTCGGATGATAAAATTAACAAGTATTTTGTATAAAGAATCTAGTTTTCTTATTATTTGTGACTGATTTGTCCGTTAATAAAAAATATCGATATATTCTGTAAAAAAACAGAGAGTTTGTTTGACATCATTCCATATTTTTCACGTCAATTGTCAAGAAAGTGTACGTTAAGGAAAAGTCGATGACATCTCACCTTACGAAGAAGTCATCTATGGCATCGACGGATGACTCAGTCTACGAATATCAAAGATAAACGAGACTCCCAAAGGCGGTAAGTAATTTCGACATCGACTGCTATCACTGCAAGGCAACCAGTTGAAACCAGACCCGTCTGCTGGGAGTATCTTCCTTTGTTTTTCCTTGGAAAAATAAGCTTTATGCTTTAAAGAGGCCAAGCAACAAGTTTAAACAATCTAAGAAGTCATGTTGATCGACATGGAGATCACAAGCCTTGAAAAAGCAACAGGCTCTGCTTCAACAAGAACTGTGTCAGGATAAACTTTTTATCTATGCCTCCAAAACTCCTTCTTTGTCAAAAAAACATTTGAGAAGTATGAAACTGATCGAATCAATACCTGTCCAAAACCAAAGAAACCAAAAGAAACACGTGCTGAAATGATTATCAAGATTTGAAATAGATCATGTTACCTCTGGAATTTGGCGAATGCGGTGGTGAAAGTGTCACGTTCGCCTTCATCGTCAAAGGATTTAATCCCGAAGAAAAACCAAAGTTATTGCCAGGTTCTTAGGGATAGCGTATATAATGCGGAAAAAATTGATAACGCTAGCCTCGAGAAACTAACGAGAGTGAGCTAGACCTACCTTACAAACACGATATACTTATGATTTTCTCGTTGTATCTTTTTATGCAATCAACTTCGCTTTTTTTAAATAAAGGATAACTATTGATATCTCAGACAAAAAATAAAAAAGAATAAAACATTCGCAATAAGATGTTGTAATACATCCATTTCCTCTTTCATCAAATTTTTCATACTCTTCGAATTGTCGCCAACTGTCAACTCAACAATAAACGGACCATAACCATCAATTTCTCGTGTGATGTGATTTTTTTATAATTGAGAAATCCTTTCAATTCTACTTAACTTTATGATAATATAAGCAAAAAGGGTGATAATTTTGTATAAAGGGTTTCGATTGATTTCTGATGAATTATGTATATGATGCTCATGATTTGAAAATAGAAATGAATATTTGATCAAAATATTGATGAGTATTTCCCTCAATGCATAAAAACCATGAAACAATTGAAGGCAAGGAAAATGTGCCCTTTTCCCAGGTACGTAGTAGGTGGGGTCAAGGTTTTCACTCGGGGGCTAAATATTGCGAAAAATGCGGCCCAAGAAAATCTGTTCCTGTATCAAAAATCAAAAATCTGCTTTCAAAAATGACCAAAATACAAGGTGTCTTCATCTTAAGTGTGTGACACTGTAAGTTTATACCAATTTTAGTAAACGAAAAATATTAGAAAAGTATAGAGTAGACTCATAATTATAATTTTTTATATATTTTGATCAACCAAAACTGGTGGTATTATTTGAAACTGCCAAATAAATTTTGTAATTCAATTTAAATAAAATGTCATCGAAAACATGTTACTTTGGTGTTATTACAGAAATCGTTCAAATTCCTGTTACATGTGATGAAGTATAAAAAATCATTACATCTTTGAAAAATTCAGCTTGTCCGGATATCAATGGAATAAATAGTCGAATTATTGAAGACTATGGATATTATTTTTGTCCCATTTACCTATTTGATTAATCTTATCTTTAAATCAGGTTAATTTCAAAATTTCAAAAGTGATACCTCTCCACAAGAAAGGTAACAAAGAGATTGTCGATAACCACAGACCTATTTCTATTATAAGTATCTTATAATAGATAGAATTAATTAAGAAAAGACTCACCAAATATTTAGAAATCAACAATTTTTTTGCAGTTATCAATTTGGTTTTCGCGAAAACTGCTCTACCACCGATGCTACTATAAGTGTTGTCAGAGGCATAATTGAGGGACTTGAAACCGGGAAGGTTGTGGGGGTCACACTATTGGACCTGTCAAGGGCCTTTGACTGTGTTTCCTACAGCATTTTACTCGAAACTCTGTCATATTATGGTGTAAGAGGTAGTCCTTTGGGTTTGATTGAAACTTACCTGAATAATCGTTTCCAGAGAGCTTTTTATAACAACACATTTACTGAGCTGTGGCCGATTGACCTAGGTGTACCGCAGGGATCAGTTTTGAGCCCGCTTTTGTTCGTAATTTACATCAATGATTTTTACAACTAAGTGAAGCCATGCCACAGTGTACTATTTGCTGATGATACATCCTTGATATACTTTTCTATGAATTATTCAGCTCTTGTTCATAAGTCTATGGAAATACAAGAAAAGGCGGAGCACTGGTTCAGTGTCAACAAACTCATGATGTATAAGGAAAAATCACAAAACATGAATGTGTCTCAAATTATTGGGTTTTACTCTGGATAAGAGGCTAAATTGGTCAAGCCACATTTCAAGTTTGAAAAGTAAACTATCGAGTGCCTTATTTTTACTTATACAGCTGAAACCAATAACAAATTTCACTACGTTGAAAATAGTATTTTGCTCGTTCATACAGTCTCACATTTCTTACGGTATTCTACTTTGGGGAAATTCTAGTGATGCCCAATGCATTTTTATATTACAGAAAAAAGCTCTGAGAATTCTTGCTCATATAGGTTTTAGGGATTCTTGCCGTGAAGCATTCATCACTCCTGAAATTATGTCGGTGCCTTCTCTGTATGTTTACTCAAGCCTATTAGAGATTCACAAAAGGGCCCCCTTGTTTCCCAAGCAATCCAGTTTACACAATCATGATACACGTAACAGCAATTTTATTAGACCTCAATGTTTCAGGCTGATGGAATCACAAAAAAACTCCTATGATTTTAAATTGTATAATGCACTTTCTGCCAGTATTAAAAATATGAATATGTTTTGTTTTAAAGAAGTTATAAAAAATATTTAAAAAAACTGTTTTTATTCCACTTCAGAATATTTAGAACATGTGCGTAGACACACTTTTGACGCAAGGAAGATGCTCGCCGAACCTCCACACTTAATTTGAATATGTTATAATGTACCTTGTAAAATTGTTACAAATTTACTGTTTATTTTATTTTATAGAAAAATTTGTACCTTGCACCTATTTTTTTTCTGACTTGTATTTTAAATGTATTTTATACATAATATGATCAAATAAATATCTATCTTTCTATCCATTAAAAAAGTTTAAAAATATCACACCAATTTGCTACTTGGTGACATTTCTTATGGTGTTTTAAATAGCAGTCATCATATAAATATTAAAAAAATTATACCTTCTAATTTCTGCATCCTCACTTTCACTGAATATATTTTGCACCGTGTTTTCCCTCAGTTTCTGGATATCATCAATAATAATTGACTGAACTTCCATGATAACAGATTAAATAATCAAGCTCTATCACGAGATTAAAAATCAATACGATCAGCACGAGATATTTCTATTGAAAATCGCGGGAGTCGCTGAAATACTGCCAAATGCGAAAGCACGCGACTGAGTCATAGAATCCCGCGTTTTACCTGTGGTTTTAAACTCGGTCCAAAGTAAGCGGCGCATGCGCTCTGAGTCGCATTCCGCAGCCAAATATTTGTGTAAACAGTGAATTCCTTTCTGTATTTTCATCTGAAATTATTCCAACGGCGCATATGCACGTCTTTCACCGAAGCTCAATTATTATGCACACTGAAATGATCTATACTACAGGAAAATTAATCAATCCAGGGAATTTATAGCAGTTTCGTTCAAACTACATATCGGATTGAAAATTGATGAGGAAGAGAAGATATTTATTCCACTTAGATAGATCTTGAAGACTATTATAAAATATAAAAGTAGAAAGTTTTGTATTTTTCTACTGTTCAGTTAGTTTTGGGTTGAAAATATCGTTGGCCTTCGACAGTTGCGTCAGTTTCAACTAAGGCTTCTTTGTTTTTTATTTGGTTTCCGGGCTTTGCCGTGGTCTATTTTGGTTACAATCTTCAAACGTTTCACCTGCAACCGCGGCAGTCGTCTTCAGTGGCGTGGTCGACATACTCTTTTTGACGTATCAACTGAAACCGAAGCTCTCATTTTCTGTAATGGCTGGTTCGCGCGTACTTCCCGTACGATTTGAGTGACATGGCTTCGTTTTGGCGCATTTCAATGCTGTGTACCAGATCTTTGATAGATAACTTCTCTCTTCCTTCTGTTGAAGTTCACTTGGTGTTCGTGTATTTCTACACCAAAGAAAGGAAAAGAGAACATATATACCAAAGATATGGCACATAGTATTGAAAGGCGCCAAACAAAGCCATGTCACCCAAATCGCGCCAGAAATACGCGCGAAAAACCAGCACCTTTGGAGATTGTAATAAAAAAAGTCCATGGCAAAACCTGGCAACCAATCACAACATTGACGCCAGCCGTGAAAGCCTATATTCCTATATAAGGCCTATTTGACTGGAAGTGGCCTTCGTTCCCTCGAGAATTTGAAAGTTGTTTATTCGATAAGGAAAAGCCTAGAATTGTATTATTGAAGTCGCAAAGCTTTTGCACCTTGTATCTCCATATGTAAAGGTCTGCAACTCGATTTATTTAGCGAACTCTATGAAAATAAGCAGGAAGATAACTAGCTTCACATCAACTAATCAATTTTTTGTCGTTGCTTTGGTTTCAACCATTATTTTACTTCCTCTTCAATATGATTTTCAACAATACCAAATTGTTTGACTACTTCGGCATCGCAAAACGGGAGGTTTATCTTTCATTCAACGTTATAAAAAATCGAATATATGTGGTATATTTATAGGATCTCCTATGGTTGGACTGACTCGTAAAAACATACCTTCAACTAATTGGAAAATAACAGAAATGAGTTAACTAATATTCGGGAGGACCCCAGACGAGGTAACATCTAGGTGACATGTAGGTGACACCTGGTTTTTAATTAGAACGCCAGAGACATCTGATCAGTATAGTTCATATTCTGATTATGCCAACTTGGTTAGCAGTTCAGGTGTATAGAAACAATATTTGTGTTGGAAAATTGGGCAGATCGATTCCAATCCCTAGTTTTCAATACAGAGGTATTTCTCTTCACTGCTCTTCCAATTCTTAGAGCTGCATTTTAGTATTACTCTTGTCAGTTTCTGAGAATTCATCTAATGAAGATGCATAGAAAGGCTGCTGTTTTAACCGATTCTCTTCTGGTTTTTCGAAAACTCTCGACGAGAGAAACGAGATTGACCCAACTTTGTATACATGTTGACAGATGGTGCAAAAATGGAAAATCTATCGCGCGTATTTTTTTCAGATCTTCAATCTGTGGATCATAATGTTGAAAAATCTTTCACCTATGCAAACAACATCGAAAATTAAAGTGCCTACTTGACAATGTCAAGTTGCGTTGGTCAAGTTGAACTCAGCACCTCTGTGAATTTATTGCTATAATTCATTGGATCCCTTTATTGTTGCCAGAATATTTTACATGGGGAGGGGGTCTAAGTGACCACGCCAGTGCATCTAACATCTAATTGATGGCTAATCCAAAGACAGCGGTCCTGTTTTGGTTGATGTATTTTAGAGCACGTTTGTTGTTAATTCAATGTTTGCAAAAAATAGAATGATCTTACAAATAATACCCACGATCATGCCTCTTTTAGCTGCAAAGGTGATCTTACTCGATTTTATCCGACTGTAGCGTGGTTACATATTTTAAATTAAAACCTTTTCAGTATTATTTTACTGAAACATCTAACAGTTTCTAGCGATTGAAATAATTCATGGTTTCTATGTCAAGAGTGGGGAAGAGCAACATAGTAATGTGTACCAAATAAACCCAGCTTCTTAACGACGCCGATTAGTTTGTATGATGGGTGGTCTTTCAGGTCAAATGGTAAGAGTACGGCTCTGCCGAACTCTAGGCACCTGATTGGATCCCCAGCGGGGCAGGCACAAAGTATGTGATCTGCTGTTCCATCATTTTCCCAACAGAAACGACACACACTGTTTTCCGACAATCCAAGTCTCTGCATATGATGATTCAAATGACAGTGACCTGTAAAAAGGTCTGTTAGACATCGTAGTTCATCCCTACTGTAGTCCAACAACTGTTTGGTATCGAGCTTCGAAGGGTGAATAAACGGCTTGGAGTGAGCCAATCCTGGAAAATTCTGCCAGAAGTCCATAAATCTTCTTGCCATCCAGGTGTTCAATCTTTAATTGGCAAAGCCCAAAACAATGTCAATGACAGGATCTGGTCCGATGAAGCTGCTTGCAGCAGTATGGCCAGGAATCCACACCAGAGAAAATCGTTTAAGTCTTCCTATCGAGGAGAGTCGTTTTTGGCAATTTGCTACCAATTTAGACGTTGCTTGGTAGGAGCCAAGAGCTTCCAACGCCGCTTGACTGTCCGATAATATTTTTATTGACTTATATGAGGTTGGATTCTTCAATCTCTCCGCACACAATTCAATAGTATAAATTTCTGCTTGAAATACAGTCGCATAGGTTCCTAAGTGTTGATATATCTTTCCTGGGCCTGCGACTGAAAACACCTGCACCCGAATTGTTTTTGATCCATCTGTGAACCAACAACTATCTGCTCCTAATATTTCCTTCTCCAGGAGGATCCAATCCTTTCTACTCGGAAACAGTACTTTATAAGGCAGTACGTAGTTGACAGTTGGCGACATAAAGTCAGAGGTCATTTCCAGAATGCTGTGACTTCCAGTGTCAAACAACAGTCTGATGCACTCTGCTTTAAATTGATTTGTGCAATTGGTAATGTGCACAAGTCTATATGCAGTCCATCTAGCCTCTCTCTCCAGAAAAATGTGGTGAAGATTTAGATCTAGAAGGATCCCCATGGTCGCTGACGATGTGGTACTGTTGGCACCACTGATGGCCTGACAAGCCAGTCTCTCTAAGCTAGAGAGCTTCGCCTGGCCCTTTTCTTTAAAGGATGGTACTTTACGATTGTTCAAAGGTGCTTCGATTTGATTCAAAACAGCAACAAACTTTTCATTACATATTGATTGACTATGAATTGGTTGACGGCTGCTAAAAAACCATCTTTAGGAATGGGAGAAAGTAAGTCCAGCTGAAAAGCTCTTGAGACATATAAACACAAACAGAACTGAGATTTTACTCTCTTATAATGTTGATATGTTTTGAAATCAGAACACTAATATGTTTCTAAATATCTGAGAGAGACGTCTTTTTTGTTTTGATGTACTCGTACACAGCCTGAATAATCTGTAATGTTTGGGAGAATTGATATATATTTTAGGCACTGACTTACAGCCTTGGGTGACTGAATCGAAAAAGCATTCATTAATCTAGAGTAAATACTGTTTATTCACCTATATTGTGTCGAAACATTTTTATGAGAATTCCTAATTTATCTCGAGTAGACTGATTGTATATTGATTCAATTGCTGCAATGAATGTGGAGGAGTATTTGCAAGTTCACGACCTTGGTATTCTATGGATAATGAAGGATAGGTCAATTGAATCAGTATAATGTGTGATATGACATCACTGTTCCTTTCAATACAATTGCACTCGACTACCTATTTCTTTTTATTAAAAAAGGGACGTGAGTTGTGAAGTTGATCACGTTGTGACTCAGATAATTGACCATTTGCCGCAGATATAAATCAGGATATACGTTATACAAAAATAATTTCGATCAGATGATGTAGCAGAATTTCTTTTGTAATCGAGTAGGGTTTTAAAATTGAGTTGAGTTGAAATCTGTAATATGTCACTTTTTAACTGAAAACAAAATATTGCATCTTGAATATATTATTGAATTCAGAAATTTTAATTTTTTTACTTTCAAAACAAGCAATTGAATGTGTGAAAGCTATTATCCGGATTCTCTTGGTCGTGTTCTGCAGGGTTTTATGCCTGACGTTTCGTCTACTACTGCGGTATTACTTCGGTACAAACATGTCCGACAACAATTTCTCATGTGTTCAGAGTCAGAGTCACTTAGACAAACTGAAGATATTTGAAATTCTGTGCCATCCCATTTTTGAATTAATACTGAAAGAGATCAACTTTCGAAGATGAAATATTGTCATGTGCTAAAAGTGAGAAAAGTGAAAACACGAATTTTGAATCCTTTGGAGAGTCGAACTGAATTGATTCGTGAGATTGCAGGACCGTAAATAAAGTCACAGTATGCCAGTTTTGAGAAAATAACATAATTTTAGAAGTTTGACAAATATGACTGATATGTCTATGAAACAATAGATCAGAATCAAAAAAGATCCCTAAATTTTTGCATTCATTGACCTGTGAAAGTATTTAATTGTTGAATGTTATATTGATCACAGAACTAGCACTCTCTTATTTTCCATAGGTCCAAGAACTATTACAAAAGCCTTCGCACTATTGAGTTAGAGATTGTGTGTCATACAATGATTGCAAATCATGATTCAATCCACTCACAGTAATGGAATGGATTCTCAATTGGATAGAGCGAAAATAGTAATGACCCAAGAATGGACCCTTGTGCAACCCGAATATTATAGGCAAG